AATAAAGTCCCTCTAGTATCGCTTTTCAAAAAAAAAAAAAGCCCTTCTAATATCCATCTCACCTCTGATCCCCCAATAATATACTTGATTTCTTCAAAGACTGCATTCTCTTTTCTTCACTGCTCAGTGCATAGATGTTGCCAAAACCATACCTAACACTATCCCTTCACATCTACCCTATCAACATTATAAATTTCTTGTGGATAATACTTTCCTCTGGTTGAAAAAAAAATATCTTGCCAGATGTTAATCAATCCCCTTGACCTCCCTTTATACCTAACTGCCTTGTCATGCACATAATCTCTAGCCACAATCTTTCAAATATCCCATCATGAACGTTTTTCAATTTTGTATTCTGATAAAAACCATGCTTGGCTTAGTCTTCCTTATCTGTCGTCTCAGTACTTTGTTTTTCTCCCTTTTACCCAGCCCTTTTATGTTCGAGGTTAATATAATCATAAAAAATGAAACAAACTCACCTCACATGTCCCTGTTGTAGACCTCTTCCTTAACCTTATCATATAACTCCTTCAACTTCCTAACTCACGAGTATCTTGATAGCTTCTTCTCTTTCTACCCTAAATTCTAACCCCAAGCTGCTTCTTGTATCGATCGTATCTAACACCTCCAACCACTATGACTTTCTCTTTAGTTTAGTTTCAAAGTCGATCTCACCCTTCCCTTCCTGCCTGTATCCCTTAGTGTTACCAACTTTGCTTTCTTTAGAAACTTTTCTTACCTTCTTTTTCTTCTTCATTTTTCTCTTTTACTTTCTCTTTCCTAATGCATTTGCTTATTACTTTAATTGCTTTCTGATTTTCTCCATCTCAATTTCTCTATTTGTGTAACATCCCAAACTAAATTATAAGTACGTTGTACATTTATAAAATTGTAAATTTGACAAATAAGTCCCTTATTCAAATTACTTATAAAATATTTGTGTTTATATTGGAATTGTTTTTGTGATAGGGACCTTATGCATATATAGTAGTTTTGTTAATGTCAGCTTATATTATTACACATTTAAAAAAAATGTTTACATTATCACGTTTAAGAAAGGAAGTTAAAGATTGTTTTATATTATCATGTTTAAGCAAAAGTTTAAGTCAATTTAAAACAAAAAAAGTAACAAGGCAGGTTTAAGAAAAAAAACACGCAGTTAGAAGAAAAAAAATATTTTGGAGTAACAAATCTTAGAAAAGAAGAAAAAGGTAGAAAAAAGAAAAAGCTATTCAAGAAAGTAGCGATTAGGGTACGATTAGGTTTTAACTTATGAAAATTGTATTTTTGCGTTATTCAAAATAAATATTTGTAAAATTAATTTATATTTTTTTAACTTTCAATCAAATCCGATACTGTTTCAGTGACTTTCTCGTAGCATGATGGGTACCAATAGAAAGGTCTTGAAAAGATCTTTTCAAAGATTTTTGTAGCATCTTGTTTGCCTTTGTGGTTAAAAATACGTAAATTTTTAAAATTGATCGAAAATTCATTTTTAACAGTTTTGACAATCCAATTTTAAGTCACTCGGAACTCCATATTTTGATAACATTTTGGGATGTTTCTTTGAGGGCTTTTGCAATATGAAATGAAGTGTTTAATTTGACATCAATGGCTCAATTAGGGGCTTCCTGTGTCGAGAAAATTAAAGCCTCAAAGTAGATTCGTTGATATTGAAAACCAAAAAATCTAGGTAAGTTTGTGATAATTTCTAAAAGTTTAGTTTTTGAAACTTGTGAATCTTGTGTTCTTTTTAATCGAAATAAATTTTTGTGTTATAATATGATATGAATATTTCAAATTGGTGTTGATTTTATCACTGGAAACAATTTGAGTTAAGAGTTATAAGTGTTTGAAATAAGCCAAATAACCATGAAAATCTAAAATTTCAAAATTTGAGAATTCATTTTTAATTATTTAAAAAATTATTCTTGACCTATATTCAACCTATTTTGATAGAAATTTCATAAATTTAACTATTTGAATTTTAATGAATTTTTTTATAAATAAATATTTATCTTATAAATTAATTTGCATTGACATATTTTGAAAATATTTATTCGAAATCTTCATATTTGAATTTTGATTTGCATTTAAAATATTTTCACCCAATGTCATAGTGTTACTAATTTTACACTATAATCTATGAGTTTCTAAGTTTTGAATGTTTTATATATTTATAAATTATTAAAAGAATTAATAATTGATTTTCGGTTAGCGAAAAAGGTACTACATCCTAAATTCCTTAAAATGACCAATAGAAAGTTATAATTCATTTTGATAAGTTAACAATGTTGGTTTCTAATTTCGAGTATTTTGAATTAATAAGCTTCAAAAGGATTCTAATTCTTTATCTTTTGAATTTGGTTTTAGCAAATCGGGTAAGTGACTGATACCCTTTCAATGTTTTCACACCTTAAAAATTAGCTTCAATGTGAATTTGTACTTGGTATATGATATTTTGTCCTATAGTTTGTTAAATCAGGTAAGCATGCTAATATATATAAGTAAATATGATCTCTATGCTGATTTTTGGAATATGATTTCAATTTTGTTCTAGAACCTAATTTTTGGAATACGATTATATTTTTTGTATGTATAAGATATGTTTTGAGAAAGTGGATACATTATTTTGTGAAATTTCGGTAATTTAAAAATATATGTTTCTGTTTGATCTCCTAGTATGGCTATGCTCTGACCCTGCCAATGGGGGTGAAATGTTGGTCATGTTGACATATATTCTGTGATTAGAGATCGATTTCCCAACCATACCATCGGTTACAGAATAGTGATATTTGTGATATCTGTTTAATGCAACCAATGGTTACTTGATATACTTCTGACCCATGCCACTAGGGATCATTGTGGTTTTGATTTTGACTGGCCCCATTGAGGTTAATTGTAGTTTTATTTTTAACCTATGCCACAAGGGTTAAATGTGATCGTAGCATGTTACAGGAGACCAATAAAAATATGAAATCAGTGTGAAATTATGTTCTATTATGTTATCTGAAAATTTCAAAATTTTGTTAGCTATGTTATCTGAAGCGAAATTATATTAATTTTTGTAATTTGAAAATGAAAATTTGAAATATATGTTTCTGAATGAAATTATCCAAAATTCTATATTAATACCTATATATGTATTAGCAATTCTGGGCCTAAATGTTTTGAGTACTCTTAACTCTACTAAAAAGATGTCAGTTACTTGCTGAGTGATTGTACTCATTCTTATAATCTCATTATTTTACAGATTTCAACATTTTACATATTTGGGAGTTAGACTTACTTAGCAAGAGTTTTGGCTAGCAAGATTAACGTATGTCCTTGAAGAATTATAAGCTTTGACTTGAGTAATCAATTTTTAGTTTATTAAGCAGATGTTAGTTAGATCAAAAATTTGTATATTTTAGAAGATTATATTTTAATATTATATTTTGAAATTTGAAGTATTGTAAAGTATATATTTTATAAAGACTGTGGAGATATTATATTGATTAAGTATGATATTACTGTCTTATATGCTTATAAGATTTGTCTCATTAGAATATGGTGTCCATTATATGACAATTTGACTCTACATTTCTTTGGTCCCAGTCCCGTGCCGCCTCCATTAATTCCCCACCCCTCCTAATTTTTCTAATCGGTAGCCTCTTTTCGACCTTCAACTTGCTCTTCTTGATCTGTTCATCGCTTTTTTTATTGCTAGTTTCTTTTATCTGCACTTTCGACTTGCTTTTCTTCTTTCCTTATTTGCTATTCTATGAACATCTCACTTTACTCTCCACATCATATTTCCACAATTAGATAAAACGAGAAGATTCCTGAATTCTTAGGTTACGTTTGGTTGGTAGAATAGGCAGGAATGGAATAGAATAGTTATTATGTGGGAATAGAATAAAGTGAGAATAGAATAGAATAGTTATTACTTTGTTTGGTACGATGAATGAAATAGAACAGAAATAGTTATGATGATTTATTGCAGAGTTTGGTTGGTAACAATAATTTTGGAATAAGAAATGAATTGAAAATAAAAAGATAAAAACACCCTTTATTATTTATATGACTATTTATTTTTATTATATTTTTTAAATATTAATAATCTAGAATTTAATTAAAATATTAATAATTAATCAT